CCTTTTCTGCCGCCACCTTTGGGCCAAGTTCTGAGGGTCGCAGACTTGCAAGCCCGGCTCCGTCTCTGCGGCGCTCAGGCATTTGCCTGGAGCTGCGGCTGGACAGAGTCCGTTTTCAGATCACAAAGTGACGCACTTTGAGTGGGTGAAATAAGGAAATCCAACCACTAAACACTAGAAAGACCTAAGAAGCTAAGGAACCGGATGACTGGGAGGCGATCTCTTTGGTGCGTTTGGGGGGGGGGGGGTCAATGTTTTCGGATTTTGGGGGAGGTCAACGCGGAAAAACAGAAAGCAAATACAACGAGGCGATCACCAGAAAAGAGAAGGAAGATAGCCATGAGAGTAGTACAACAACCCGTCTCGCCGGCCACAGTACGAAGGCTCATGGCGACCAAGGCTTGCGCATGCGTTGTTTTGTTTTTATTGTTCCCTTTTTTTCCCATTTTCGGGTGGTTAAGACTGTGCAAAGAGTGGTTGCTTTATATAAACCAACTGTATGCGGGGATTTCTGCAGGAAAATTACAGAATACCCGTGCGCACACAAAACGAAAACAAGGGCTTTCTGTAGATGTCACTGGGATTTGCTGTCGTGGGCCCCTTTCTGAAAGAAGCTCAAAGATAAACTTGTAGCGGGGTAGATCATAAATCCCGCTGAACCCAAAAAGGCTAAATGCCTTAGAAACCATATGCTTGTCTAAGCGCCCAATTGTAACAACTCCAGACGCGGGGGTGCTCCATGTAGGGGTGTGTAAGACAATCCTTCTTTCCTTGAGATCCCTTCTACTGGCTTGCTGTTGATCCCCCTGCAAAAAGTTTAACTTTTTGTGGGTTTAGTGGAAAACCCCTTGATTTCCCCCCCCCCCAAAAAAAAGAAGGTCTAAACATCTAACCCAATAGCGGTCAAGTCAACCACGACCAAAACCGGGTCATGCGGCTTTGTTCGGGGCACCCATCCAAGCCGCCCTTGCACTCAGCTCCGATCCGATCTCAGCCTGTGCTGCGGCTGCGGAGTAAGTCGCCCTCCAGGTCGAAGTGCCCCGCGGCGTTGCCTGGGCCGAAGGCCTTTCGATCGAGGCCCGAGGCCCCGAGGCCCCCGGCCCCCGTGGCCCCCGTGGCCCAGGCAATGAAACAGATGCCCAGGTGCAACCGCTTTGCGTGATTGACGTTGGAAGGGGGAGCAAAAAATAAATACATTAGCAGTTAAGTGGGGATTGCCCACTAAAACACCATAAGCAAACATGTAAAATGTTTCCCAACAACAACCATGTTTGGACCTAGAAATTAAAAGGTGATCACTGTTGGGGGTCGGGTCATTTGCAAATGGACCACAAAGAGGAAACCAACGCGTCAAAAGGTCGATTCTCGCTTTGGGCAACTGAGAATGGAAGCAAAGGCACCCACTGTGAGTGAGGCTTTGCGTGAGCTTTGCCTGCTCCAAAGACCTAGAATGAAAAGGACGTTGTGCGACCGTCACGCAAATGGGACCAAACAGGCATGAAAGAAAAGCGCCAAACCAGAAGGTCAAAGGCCGGTTGGTGCACAGCCCTGGTTCCAAGCCCGTTCACTTCGCATTCAAGGGGCACCAGGCGCAGCTTTGTCCAGGGCAAGCTCTAGCTAAACTGCCACAAAGCAAATATGGATACCCTCCCGCCATAAACAGTAACTCAAGGGAAAGCCCTAAACAGTTGTTGGCCTAAAGAAATTCCACAAATGGAGGTGGTTTTCGGGGTTACCTACACAATAGTCTTGTGCTATGCCCCACATCCACAAGGAAAGTCGTTTTCCAGAAGGGATTCTGCCGTTCCATGGTTGAACACCAATGGTTTAAACATGTTTGCGGCTGGCTCCAGCACAAACACAACACGCATAAGAGCTCCTCAAAACCACTCTAAAGGGCTGCCTTTTGTGCTGAGTTACCCTGCCATCAGCGGAAAGCGCAGAAATGAATGCAAGTGTCCCATTGAACATGCTCTCGTGAAATGTGCTTTCAACTCAGAAGGACATGCTTAAGGCTTTCCGCCTGGCCCGGCGCTGGCGAAAGAATCGTGCTTGCTTGTCCGGATCTGAGTGCATGCCAAGTGCTCACAGAAATCATGGTGTTCAACTTTTACCCGGTTTAGGGTTTAGGGTTTGATGGGGTAGGTTTGGGTCGGTGATCTTTTTGCAAGGTATCAATCCTGGGCCCGTTGCAAGGAAATCGCAAGATGATTGTTTCGTTGAGTGGATGATTCCATCCCTGTGATGCTCTCGTTGTCTTGCTTGTGCCTTGTTACAGAGAGAATTGCAAAACACAAAAACTGGCCTCATTATTTTACCATGATCAAAGTCGGTTAAGGGAAATAACCCCATTTTCTGACTTTGATAACCCCAGAAACCGTCAAAATAATGACCCCAGAAAAAGACTCAGTCTCATTGTCCAATGGGTGTCCTTCTGTTTCGTTCCGGCTTGCTGCCAAGAGTCACTCGCTCAAGCGCAGGGCCCCCTTGGCCAAAGACACGCAGTGCTTGCCTGAGAGCTGGAAGCACAATCCCCGACTCGCATGGGACAACCCTCCTGTGCAACAGGAAGCTTCTAAAAGGACCATGCAAATGCAAATGATCCTGCCCAGTCTAGTGGATAGAAGGTACAAGGACTGGTCAACAGGGCCCATTATGCTTCCCACTCAGACGTTGGCCGATTTAAGCTAAACCCTGTTAAATGGCAACAGGACCACCCTTTCAAATGGAAACAACACTACCCCTTGCAAATGGCATCATGAAACTACAATGCTTCATCCTTCAGAACAAGGGACTATGTCTCGTGACTCACACCCGCTTTGCATGCTCGGTGCGGGAATTGTTGTGCACCCCGTTTTTGTTTTGGACGAGAGTGGAATGAATGGAAGTCGTTAGGTTGCGCCGTTGTGGCGCATGAGGCCGAAAAGCCGAAAATGGACTCAAAAGCAGGGATGCAAGAGCCAACTTAACTTGCCAAGTACGGCCAAACGCTGACAACTGAAGACCTGTCAACATGCTGTCATGCCAAGTTATGATCGCCAACGGGCAAGTTGAAATACGGAGATGCCGAGACGTCAGCATGTGATCTGCATTAATTGTTGTTCAGCCCAGATTAAGGCATCTCTAAGTACGGAACCTTCATAGGTTGGTCTCAATTTCGGGTTGATTCGTGCCAAGCGGCCCGCTTTTCTTGACTTTCCGAGAAAAAGTAGACAAAAAAGGAGTACTGCTTTGTTACACGGGGTCCTGGAAACTTCCATGTTAGTTGGGAGGCCACCCACCCCCAACCAGCCAGCCAGCCAGCCAGCCAGCCAGCCAGCCAGCCAGCCAGCCAGCCAGCCAGCCAGCCAGGCCAGCCAGCCAGCCAGCCAGCCAGCCACTCCTGCCTCCCACGGTGCTGCGGATGAGCCCGTCCTCCAGCAGCCAGGACTGGTCCGTTGCGAAGTCGCAAATGTCCAGACCTGAAACGAGAATAAAGCAAATGGACCATATTGGGGCCGCTATTGGATCATGTTGGTTCTTTGACCCTGTCTTGAAACATAATCTGTGTTTTTCCCCACTAACCAAACAACTAAGTTCTTCGTGTTTTGTTTTTCTTCCGCGCAGGGGGGCAGAGTGCCAGCAAGCCAATCAAGCCCTGGAGTTTTTACCCAGGCCATGTCACCTGACACTTTGTTTGTGACTATCCCCCATGTTCATTCTTTTCGGTGAGCTTGCGGGTCATTTGGTACATCCTGTGAGGACGCAAGCCAAATGTCCCCTTTTCGACCCCTTACATCCACAAAAGGAACTTGGAGAACTCTCTGGGGAGGGTTCGGTTCCTTAGATCCGCGTTTTTTCGGGCGAAGCACGCCACAACTTCACTAATTGTGGTGACCAAGTGGCCCGGTTGTATCCCGCTTGTGGACGTGCAATTGGGAAGCTCAGGTTGGTTCTAAGAAATTGGTATTCGCAAGAGGTCACCAAAAAGACCAGGGTGCTCCAAGGAAATGACATGCTGGGTCCCCACGCAATTTGGGGCAACCCACATACTACCCTCAAACCTAGAATCTGGACACCGCCCCGAAACTGTTTTCGGGCCGTCATGGCCGTCCCCTTTTTGATGGGTCGCTTGAGGCCTCGAGGGGTCGATCTCTGGCAGCTCCCAAGCTTCAGATCCGAGGCGCTCAACTCCGTGGGCTTCCCCACTTTGGCGCCTTCCGCGATCCCGATCGATCCGAAGCCACGGCTCTCCGAGGACATGTCCCGAGTCGGCACCCTGGTGGAGGGAAGCCCTTGCTTTGAGTCTTGCTTGGGTTTTTGAGGCTGTGCTTTAAGTGCTTTATGGGTGGGTTTCTAAGGGAAACCGAAAGGAAACCAAGCGAAACCAAGGACTTGAGCCCCAAGTGGAACCCTTCTTGGGGTCGGCCATAGCGAGTGAACCTGCCAAACAAACATGGGACAAGGCTGCCACTAGCTGGGGGATTTGCATAGTGACGCCGAGAAAATGGTTCAAGCTGCAAGGCTCTGCGACCGACTCCGCGATTTACAGAAACCACTGAAAAAGACGGCGTCGACACTGAAGCCTTTCATTCTCCAGAAGGATGCCAACCCTGGTCAGGGGAACGCTCCCTTGGTCGCACACCAAAGACAGGTGATCTCCTTTTGCCTCCATTGGGCATTGCAGCAAGGCGAGAAAACGGATCGTGCCCTCTCCGAGTCTCAGGTTTGTCACTCTCTAACTGGAGCTCGCTTTTCCCATGCGGCCAGAACCCTTCGTGCATGAGGCGATGGGAGGCAATCAATCGGCAGGTGCTTCACCTTTGAAACCCTGAACAACCCAACATCAGAACCAAAAGGCTAAAGTCAAGGGTTGCAGAGTCTTATCCTTGAGATAGGCCCTGCCAAAACTTGCACTGGGCTACGCGACCTTACGGGTAACCGGTACCATGTGCCACTTTTGGAGGTCTAAGCAAGGGAAATTGAGTGACCCTTGTTTGGACAAGGGGCGATTCGTTGCTTCAGCCCGAGTGGCTGAGGCACTTGTTCATCTGCAGCCAGTCGTTGCCGACATTCAGCATGAAGCCTAGCCAAAGCAAGCCTTCGAGAACCGCCCCCCCCCTGGCCGCCCAAAGGGGGCAGGTAGGGGATCAAGTCTGATCTGCCCCAAAACCACAAATTGTCCATTTGCTTGACATGCCACCAGAAACAAAAAAGAAACACATGTACCAGTCACGACCTTTTCCTGTAAAACCCACAATGAGCGGGGAACATCTTGAGCAGTTGGACTCAAGAAGTTACCCCTAGCAGCTTTTGTTGGAAACATCGACAATCACTCAACAAACCTTGGTTTCTTTGCCTGCTTCGACTCTGGTTCGTGGAAAAACACAGGGCTGAATGGCCGCCTCGAGCAACACAACAGAGTAAAACAAAACAAGGGCTATAGGTGTGTCTCGAAATGAAGGAGCTCTCCAGGTGGATAGTTCTCGTTTGGACCCTCCTTTGCACCAACCAAGATAATTATATACTACCACCTTCAGGACAAGGATGTTGCGGCCAAAGCATATCACCTTCAGCACATAAGATTAACCCAACAAACACGAGTGCCTCCAAAACAGATGCAACCCTTAGCTCGGGCAAGACCATTCGCCGTTAGAGGCACCCGAACCTTTCCATGACTGCAAACAACTTGGTGTCTAATTACCCAAAATCAGGGGTCACGGCCCCATGTCTAGCGGGTGGAGACTCCAGGTATGGCGGTAGGTGGTGCCCCGTTCTTCGATCGATCCCCGTTCCCATCCCCGCAAACATCCGCAGACCCGAGTGGCCGTCTGACGTCAGCTTCCACAGGCCCGGCGTCTCGATGTCCTGACCGAGGAGTGAGGATCAGCTAACAACTCAGTCCGACAGAGGTACCCTCCCACCAATTAACATGCAACATGATGTTTCGGACTCCTGGATGACAATTTTCCTTTCAAAGGGATTCCCTGTCATGATATTAGACCAATGCGAAAACAGCATCTGGCGGCTGTTCAGGACCTATACTGACTCAGGGCCACATCGCAACGGGGGCAGCTCGTGTCCACGAAAGAAACATCACTGATGGGCACGTGGGCTGCAATGACTCCCCTTGTCAGTTGGTTCTGAATCAGAAAAGGAATCAAATGCAGGAAAACTCGCAGCCCTTGGTCTGGTTTTCTTGCCCAACTCCATGCGTCCAATTCACATTTTGTTTAAATCAGAAACGGGAAAGAAGCTGAAAAATCACCACCGAACCCGCGATGGCTCACCAATTATACAGGAGGCCGGGCTGGAGGATCACTGCAGCCTCTGCCACTGACTGAGGGAAATCTGGCAACCACCCGGCCCAGTATTTTGGGTGAATATCAAGTTGCCCCTCCAGTGTAGAAACTCGCTTTCAGGTCCTTGGATTTCCCTCCGAAACGGGCAAAAGCAAAGCCCTGAACCCTCAACCTGGCCATTTGAGCCGTGGGCAGAACGCACCAACGGCTCGCGTTCAAACGCCGGCCTTTGTCTCGCAAGGAGCCAAGTTCAGGTAGGACCCTGACGCCTCAGCATGCGATCCTTCTGGGTTCCCACAAGAATGCGCTTCTCACTCACTGCCTGAGTGGGCCAGAACCACTAAAACAGTCTTCCCAACACAAAACAAGTCCAGCAATTCAGGGAGCAGATGGAGCTTTAACATCAACCGAACGTTGACCAACTCCTACGCATCGGGTTGCAAACTGAGCCCTCAAAACCGTTTGGGCCCAATTTGGTATATACTCAAATTTTCTTCCGAGCTAAATGGTAGTTCTAAAGAAAATGACACAACTAAACATTTGAAAGCTCCTTTCAACATGTTCACTTTAAGGCCCAGTTGCTGCTGCGGACAAAGAATCGGGGCAAAAACCAAACATACCAGATCAACGCCTTGGCTTTCTACCTTTAGTGGGCGGCTTATCTAAGCTCTTGCCACTCAAGGCGCTACTTAGCTTCAGGAATTCCTGTTGGTGAAGCCAAAACCACGGGCTAAGTAAATCCCTAAACCAAAGGCCAAACAGTCACACAAACGGCGTAACCCACCAGAGTCCCAGATCCTCTTCAATCTTACTGTTTTGGCATCCTTGATGGCAATATTTTATTGGGTGGGTGCGAAGTTCCATTATCAAAGCCTTAGCCGTTACTTTGAAAGCAAAATTTATCTGAGAAACTGAGATTAAGTCTTGGCAATACGAATATTAGACTTAGCAATGCTACACTAAGCACTGTAAATCTTAGGGCAATACCAACATTAGAACCGGCATGCTGAATAAAGCAGGAGGAAACTAAGATTCGGTCATCCCAATTCTAGGTTGGCTTCCTTGAAACCAAGGCGACACTCGGGCACTGCGTCTCAAAAGACGACACACCCCTTTCATGTCGCCAGAGCGGCAAATCCCGGCTCGCCGGGAACGTTGGCCTAAGGTCGCGAGACCAGAGTCGCTTGCCCTTGGCCAGCCAAAACTGGGCTGTCCCAGATGCCCCGCTAAAAGTCTAATTTTTAGTGGGTTGAATGGAAACCCCCACTAAATCCTACAACCTAAAAACCTATATAAGCGGATGGCTGGGAACCACCAAGAAAAGGTCAAAAGGTGGGCTTTGAGCAAGTGAGGTAAAGAAGGTGGTTCAGAGGATCCGAGAAAAAGGCAGCACTGCCCCCAGTTGCCCAGTGATCCTGGCAAAATAGTAAACTTTGGAGGTTGCCACGTTGAAAAGGTAAACCCACCAAGCAGCAGGAAACAACCCCGAAACAAGCTGTATAGTTCAACGCCATACGCTCAGCAAGTCTAGGCGTAGCGTATGGTTAGTGGCCGACACCCTGAAGTAAGACCCTACAGTATATGCGCACGTGCAGAGTGATTGAGCCCGCAGTCCCAACAGCAAACTGTTCCACTCACAGTGTTCCCAAAAAAAAAGTCCAGGAACGCAGGGAGTATAGGCCTTTGGAGGTTCTCATTTGAGGATCTCAGGGAGTGTGTATGAGGCTTTGGAGGTTTAAACCCATTTGCAGCCAGAAAACACACCACCCCTTTCCGTCAACTGGATATGTGGCGCTCCACTTCAAACGATCCCAGAAAAGGTTCTTACCCTCCAAACCGCACACGCAACCAAACATTCAACTGGTGGGCTCCATGGTCCGTTTCAACCCCCCCCCTCCCAGGGTGAACAGAACCTGAGCCAAAGACCAACGCCATGTTTTGCCCTTTTTACGGCGAGGGGCACACATGGCGCTGGCGCGGTGACGCAAGAAGCCGCGGTTGAGGTCCCACTTCAGATCCTCCTGGCGAAGCCGAAGGCTCGCGTCTCGCTTGTTGAGACCCCCTGGCCTTGGGTTGTCCCTTTAAGGCAAAAAAACAAGGGGGAATTACCAGCTAAACAAAAATCACACAGAACTGAGCCACCCACCTACTCCACGCACAAACCTACGGTTGGTTTGGGGACCGATTTGCCCCAAAGGAAACACTGATGGACAAAGCACATTTTGGGATCCTAGGGTGGAGAGAGGAACTCATAAGAACTCCCTCTTTCGTAGATATCACTTCCTAGGTCCAGATTGCCAGAGGGTCGGAAAAAAAAATGAACACGTTTCATTTGCGTTCACGTCTTCGTTTGTGAATCTCCAGGCCAGCTGGCTTGTTATGAGTGCTTACTGCTAGTCATACGGAGTGAGGGGCCAAGCCAACAAACCACCAGGAGAGTTCTGGGACCAGACCCCCCGGTGCTAACATTCGGTGCAAACCCAGCCGGTTGAATACCTTCGGTAAAAGTGTTCTGCCGCAAGGAATCAAACAGTCCTTCTCTCATACGATAATTCCTAGGTCCTCCAGAGGTTCGAATAAGTTGGTACCAACTTTTTTCTGTAGCCTATTTCAGTAGGGGAACCCAAAACCCAAAAACAGAAACGGTCAAAGTTGGCACCAATTCCTGGGGGGCCTAGATTCGACTGCTGAAGGTCTCACTCGCCCGGAAACAGCAGGCGAACCTTTGGGGGCCACGAGGAGCTCTTGGACCAAGAGGGCCTTGCTTGCTGCAACGACCCCCCTGCAAAAAGCTCTCAACTTTTTTGGGGGGGAATTTTGGTGGAAACCCAACTTGATTTCAACCGAAAAGCTTAAAGTCTAAAGATCCAAGCCAGTGGCAGTCAAGGGTCAAAAGGTCGATTCGCCTTGGGCAAGTCAGCAGGAGAAGGGGTGCCCTTCGAGTTCGGTCACTTCCCTTTGAGGAAACCCTTCTTTCAGCCCGCAAACCTTGTCGCCGCAATGGGCAATCACCAGGTCGAGAGAGCCGTACCTGAGAATTGCGCGGAAAACCAAAAAAAAACGTGCGGGTTCCCAGGCCAACAACCCTTGTTTGAACAGGGCTAGGTAGGAGCAACCTCGCATAAAATTGCCTAGGAACACACAAGTCCCCCACGCATCTTCCGAGAGTATTCGGCCATGTTGGTCATCCATTCCCCATTCTTTCGTGTCAACAACTTGATCAAAGTTTCAGCACGCAGGAAGGTGCGACCGGTGACCACTGACAAAAACATGCCATAGCTCTCCAGTTTTCTCCTTGCAACACTAACTTTTGCCCCAAACAAATCAACACATGCTTCCACTTCTGAGTGGACTCGGTTAGAAGTCTGAAGTGTGCCACGCACTCAAAATAGCCTTGCCCCAGCCCAAGAGCATAACGTCCTGCAACTCAGGAAGTGAAACTCGGGTGTGTTTTAAAATAGCTGGAACCCCCGAACATCGGTGGTTTCCTTTTCAGCTTTAAGCCGACCCCCCCAGCTTTTCCGGGTCAGCGAGCAGGAATCAACATGAGATCCCAGGCCCGACACTTGCGACAGGCGAAGTGACTGGAAGCAAGCAGCAGGTTTGGTAATCCCACAGGCGAACATTTCATTGGACAACCCTCAGAAACTCCAAGGCCTTGTTCTGTAGCTCCTTGTATAGTTGCCCTTCACGTGTGATAATCACAATCATATTCATTTGGAAGCTAGTGATGGTTATGATACCCAGGACAGTACCAAAATAGAAATATTGACAAATAATAATCATTATGACAACAGTCTTTAGGACTTTAATATCAGCTACAAAGATAGAAATGACACGTGTGGGGGGCCCAACTTGACTGGAACATGGCCATCCCAGTGTTGCATGAGGGCAGAACCTCAGACAAGTTCTAGCCAAACCTTACCCAAATCAAACGCCCTTTCAGGTGGGGAGGGCGCAACAGGAAACCCAGAAGCCAAATAGCTGGCCAAGAAGCAGCCAGCGTCGAGAAACCAAACACCTGCAACTTTAGACCACCGCTGAGCTCGCCTTGAACTTTGGGGACGAGCTCTAGCTTTATCGGGCAATGGGGGCAAGCATCAAGACAAACTGTGTGGGCAAAGGGCAAAGGCTTTCATGTTGCACCTGGTTTATCGGTAGTCCGAATTGTGTCAAGCTTCCCCGCTTAAACACAACCCCCCAGTAAACAAGGTGACCCGGAGGGCAACCGAATGGCTGGGCCAAGCTATCTGTCGCTTGCGAGCAAGGCGCTCGCCGGTGCGAACCTCAGTTGCCCCATTCGGGTGCCGCATTCGGGTGGGGTTTGGGGGACATCCCCAGAATGATGGCGTTCTTTTTTGGGGGGGTTCCCTTTAAAAGAATAAAAGGATCTCCTCAAAAGAAGACACACCCGTTTCAATGAGTTTACGGACTGTTTGGGGATCCCTTGATGACATTTCGGTGGACCCTATGGTGAAAGCTTAATTATGTTGGGGACCCTTTGGTGGACACGGCGGGAATTCATGTCTAACCACTTTTGCGATGGATCCATGTGAAAGCTCATAGCCATTTCCTCTAGCTGCGCGTGCTCCATTTCCACCGAGCCAGCCAGCCTGTACGTTGGGAACGGCAGGAGCAACATCGACTGGGAAGAACCAATCGGCTTGCACTTCCATGAAACAAACACATCATTTGAAGGCATTATACCCCACAAACAAGAGACATGGGACGCCCCTAGTGCAAGTTTGGGACCCCACAAAAAAAGCGCACCAAAAATTCCATTGAATTGTGGTTCTATCAAACTCTTAGTTATGAAGGCTCCCTTTGTGAAACATGTGGGGAGGTATGCTTTGGGGCACGCTACAGTGGTACCTGCGACATGCTTTCCAGGAATCCGGTTGAGAAAACGGCACAGGCCGTCTTTCGGTAAAGGTGGCAATTAAACCCCAAAGAACTTGCAAGACCCTCAGGTGCACCAGGTTCAGAAATGCGCGGATTCGTCAGTTCCAGGTCCATTCCAGATGCCGAGAAATTCCCCAAAAATTGCGTGGTCAATTTTGTCTCACTTCCCGGGTGGAAGTCCAAAGTCTTTGCACAAATGGCAGCCAAGCACAAGCGACCCAACTCCGAAACGGAGCTCGATCGGGAGTGAGTTGCAGCAAGTGGAATGGATAAAAATCTCAAGGACCCAAACCCCCGTCTTCCGGCCAAGGCACGCCCAAGCCTGGGCGCGTCTAGCGAGGGGAGACAAAAAGCCATCCCAGGGTGCCTGAAATGAGAATGTCTCTATAAGGTGTCCGTTTCTGTAGCTGAAAGCATCACCCCACAAAGACACTTCATTTTTGTCCAGCCTCAAAGGGTGATGTTTAAACCGCTTCCAAAAGGTGAACTTTAAAGCTTTGATGCTTTTTGCGGACGGCCCCAAGGCTGAGAATTCCTGAGGGAAGCCACAACAAGCCTGCGGTCAAAGTCTACCCTGAAAGGTATCCTGGAAACACAAACGAAAGACTAGCTGTCTAGGAAATGATCTGTAAGACACATCACTGTACCCCAAAACCAGGCTTCCTTCTCAACTGGTCTCTTGGAAAAATGATACGTACCCGCTTTAAGTGAAGTTAAGCTCCGCTGCGTCACTCCCTATCTGACAAAAAGGCTCGCAAGAGAGGAATCACGTTGCACACCAAGCATTTCCATTGTGCTTCTCTTTTTGCTCCCCCTACCTTATGGGGCAGGGGGGGCAGGGGGGGTGTGAGGGGTGGTTATGTCAAATCTACATTTCCATCTGCACCGATCCTCACCTCATGGACTCGCGTCAAACGCTCCTCTCCCATTCAGCTACTCTCGACTTGTCCTCTCGCAACCTCTTGTGTCATCATTTCCATGCACCAGGAGTCGTTCCTGGACCAACCGCGGATACAACTCATTGTTGGGCTTCTTTGGATGCGTTTGCACCTCACATACCTCACCGCGTGTGGATGGTCAACGCCCCGGTGCCCGACTGCTTCAGATGGGGTGGAAGTCCAATCCGATGATCAATGAACCATTGGCTTGCATTTGCTGAAGGCGCAACTAAAAGTCAAATATGAGGTTCCCCCTTTCAGGTTGGCTTTAGAAATTTTAGGGAGGAAAACACCAGTCACTCATGGACTCCCAGCGCCGATGGGGAGGATGAACCTAAGAAGGCCTTATGAAGGCTCTTTACCCCTCCTTGCAGGTACATGGGTCTTACACCCATCCAGGCAAGACAATTTGTGGGGCTGAATAATCAATTACTCACATTCGTCCCTTTTCAATCCTGACAGCATGCGTGATTCAAAGTGTCCCACAGCCTCATTCTCAGTACTTGGGCACCTATAACAGGGATCCTTATATTATACACCTGAACATTGCCTTGTCAATGGTGGTTTCCCTTTATCTTAGTGGAAACAGCTATGATTCAAATGAGCAAAATAAATCTTTTAAGGAGCCCTGCTATAATAAACCCCTTGCCACCCAATTTCCATGCCAAGGTGCAGCTCCTGCTCCCCATGCTGCGCACCAAGCCATGAGTCAACTGGCGCAAGCGCGTGGTTAACCCGGGTGTTTTGGAGGCATCCCAGCCTTAAAAGCCCAACACACAGCGCAACTCCTGACTACATCTAGTGGCAACTGGGATCCACTGCGACACTTGATGCATATTTATGGGGCAACCTTCTGTGTCTCCCAAAGGAGGGCGCGGGAAAACTGGGGTAGCATGGTTTCTGGTTGAAGACTTGGGTTGTCCCCCTGTGTCCTTCCCAAAGTAGACTGCGCATGAGATTGTCAGGTGCACATGTAAGCAGTCGCAAGATACGCGTGCCCAAAAGGACAAAGGGGAAAAAACATCATGCACTGTGTCTCTGTTGTGCAAAGCAGCCCCCCCACGTACTGGATGTGTTGGTCGAACCTCATGCGAGCTACTTTTCAAAATTTGAATTACTTGCTTCCCCAAGACTTCAACAGGAATGGGACATTTAGAGCTCGCAACCCATGTCCCTCCTAGTTCGGACCATCGACTGGACATGTCGATCGAGCCGAGCCCTATTCCCTAATCCCTATGCGGCTTCGGCAGTTCTACTTTTTAGTGCCAGCCACACATCCGCAAACGTGCTGAAAGTTGAAAAGGGTCTGGTTTTTGGACAGGCATCTAGATAGATGACCCCGAAGGCTCGCTGTTTTCATACCCCTCTTTGCAAAGGGGAACGACTAACCTGCTGAGTTGACTGCATAGGAAGGGTTTGTTTGTTTGGCGCGAGGCCGAAATGAAGAAGACACCTGCCAACAAATAGGCCGAGCATGCCAGTTTGAGGTCGGTACGCAACCCAACACCAAAGGGGTACTTATACACGGGGGCATGCGCTGCAGTAGATGTGGCCGGCTGAACAAAAGCGCCTCGCCCCCGTCGAAAGTCAGGGCAACTCTGTAACTGAGTATAACTCAGTATTTTGATTCTTGCCATTTGCCAGCCGAGACATATGTCTCACGGACTGTCGGACGCTCACACCACTCCCTCCCTATTTGTCGAAGGAGGGAGGCTAACAACATTCGAAGAAGCTGCCAAAGCAACCCTGACATGCCCAACTGCTGGAAGCAAAGTGCTTGGTTGTTCTCCCCGAGCCCCCGCATGCATGGTTCTCCTTGTACCCGCCTTCCAGGATCAAATGCAAGGCTGAAGGATCCGCCCACATCATTTTAAGGGCCCACACCAACCTAAACAGCGCTTGCTGCCCAGGGCATGCGGAATGACCCCAATGACAAATGCTACTGAGAACTGGAATGTTACATGAAGGGCCAATGACAAGACCCAAGGATGCACGTTGCGTGCACATTCCCCTGCTAGGGTCAAGAACACCGTCTTTTACAAATTTCGGGGGGCGAAGAAATGTGGCGAAATGAGCCAACAGCCACGACCCCTCCAAAAACCAAAGATCGACTCCGCCCATCCGAGGTACCCATCCCCCGTCCGCGGCTCCAATCTTTGGGCCTGCCACCGTTGTTGGGACAAGGAGCCCG